AATGTTATAATAATTGCACATTGAAAGTTACAATGAATTAATTAGCTAGAAAAATCACATGGATGAAAGATAGGGGCTAATTCAATGGAATTTGGAATTTGTGCAAGTCTAAACAATATCGATGCTTACAGTTCTATCCGCGGGGCATATTTATGTTCATACAAAAATAAAAAAAAAAGGAGAGTAATAAAAATATGAAAAAAAAAAAAATAAAAATGAAACATGAAATTTAATTTATTTCCGTTTTCAATTCGCCCAGCGAAGCGGGCGGGAAACGGCTAGTATATATATATATATATATATATATACATACATAAATACATATATAAACTTTTGAGCCAATGCCATTTTTCGACATTACTCGATGAAATGAAACATATTATGACAAAATTTTATAAAAATTACGATATGAGACCGGCTACAATAGATAGATTTCTAAAGAAATCTACCTAAAAACGACTAGAATTTTTTATACAAATCCTTTATAGCAATTACTTATTAAGAGTAGCTTATATTATTGGTCAAGAATAAAAAATCATTTAATATTTAATTTACATAAGCTAACATTAAGAAATAAAACTAATAAATATTTTAAAAATTATTACATAATAATAATAAATACTAACAATTTTCACTCACTATGTGATTACCGTAAATTAAAAATTATTGTTGTGAAAACTCTGACTTAATGATTATTTAATTATAATTTTAAACATAATATACATAGTTGAGTAGGGTGTTTCATTTGGAACGACTATTTTTTTGTATTGCTGACACGATTCTAAAGAAAAAAAATTTTTTATAAAATTTATAAAGCATCTAATTTAGGAAATTAAATTTTATAAAAGATTTCCATCAGTATAGTTTTGGAACAACAATCCATTTTTACAATATCTTCAAAAATATATGAAAAAAGTTACAACAATTTTTTTTTTAATTTAATAGACTTACAACAATTATATTTGAATAACCGTTTTCATTGATATAATAGCTCAATACCAGGTAAAGATGTGAAAATAAAAAAAAAAAAGTGAGTTGAAATATATGCTTTTTAAATGGAAAAAATTAAATGTGAAAGAGGAAGTACTTAAAATTAAAATGTAGGGCCTAAATTTTCAGGATTTTTTTTTATATGTAGAACAGTATTTCATAGTGTCAGCGGGAAAAAAAGTAGTCGTTTTAAATGAAGCTCCCTAGTTAAGGTATATCTGATATAAATTTTGAAAATAATGTCACTATGATTAAATCAATGATCAATAATTTATTGAAAGTTATGAAATACGCTTTTTTTTAAAACAAACAAACCATTTAGAACTATTTCAAAAATTTAACATGAATAAGTACCAAATTTCAGTATAGAAACCTAATTTATAATAAAAATATTACCTCAAAAGTTTTTCCTAATTCTTTAAATAACAAATATAATAAATTATTATCAATAATATTTATATCGATAACATATAGAAGAAGCATAGTATATTTTTTAATATGAATTTTGATTTAAATTTTTGATACAGTCATAACGAAATAAAGCATTTATAGTAGTATCTTATGATAATTAACTTCTAGTTATAAATTTTATTTACAATTCATCAAATTGTAAATTCTGAAATTTTCTAAAGAGTTAAGATTTTTGCTTTTTATTTTTATAGAAATTTCAATCACAACAGTATCACATACATCCCTGCCACGGTTTTGAATTCAATGACAAGCATTGAAATCATGTAAGTATTTATTTTTTTTCGCATGGTTTTTCCATGTAATTAAAAAATGATTTAATAAAAAACTGTCTTTTGCTCAGTTTTTTAAGAAGAAATCAAATAAAAGGAATACATCATGACGGATTCAAAAATCTTCCAAATCTAAAAGTCTTGTAAGTAAATCTTCTCTAAACAACATGAATTAATTTTTTTATTTTCTGATAATTATTTGTACCATTGAAGGTCATGTTAAAAAATTTACAGGGAGTTGGATGACAATTGCCTCACAGAAATTCCAAAGGTTATTAAACATCTGCATAATTTAGAAGACTTGTAAGTGATTGTATTCTTTTTTTGCATTCTTTGTATTTTTATGTTAAATTTTTAGAGAAAATTCTAAACTCACTTAAAATTTCTTAATTTTTTTTGAAGATCTCTATCTAATAATAAAATTGAGCAGCTCGATTCCAATGCATTTAGTGGTAATCCCAATATTACCTCGATAGACTTACGAGGGAATCCTATTAAAAAAATTCATCTTCGAACATTTCAAAACCATGTGAAGTTACGAAAGTTGTAAGTATTAATATTAATTTCACTTAAATTTTCATCCTAATAATTGTGTAATTAATTGACACTTCAGGATTTTATCAAACAACAAAGAATTGATGCATTTTCCGAGTTTGAACGGCACACAATCCTTGGAAATATTGAGATTAGATCGTGCATCTCTTACGAGTCTTTCTGATCATTTTTGCGTTCAATCACCGAATTTAAAAAGTTTGTAAGTAGTTGATATTTTTGAATAATACTACAAATTAATTTCAGATACAGTAAATCAATCTATTTCTTCCATTTGCTACACACTTGTTACGTTCCCAAATTTTGGGTTAGTTTATTTAAAGTTTACCAGGCGGGTGTCTTTAGGATATCTATCGATTCCAGGCGCACCCTGCTCTTTGATACTCTATTATAAATTTTTAAAATAATTATTAGGGAATTAACCACTAAAATAAAACACTCAATCTGTGTTGAAATTAAATATATTGAAAAGCTTCAGTAATTCGGGCACCGGACTTACGTCCGGAGCCAAAGATGGTTGTCGCCTGGTTGCCCAGGGTAGACTGACATGGATTTTCATCCAGTACAATAAATTTTAATAATTAAATGTCGCAACGCCGCATCTCAGGTTACCCTAGTGAACACCATCGAGGCCCGAATCTCATGCAGCGTCATGAGTTTTGAATTCGAGTCGCGATGGCGTTCGCAGAATTTCTTTATCTTCTCGTCACTCCGTTAAATAATTCTTTGAACGGAATGATCGAGGTTTTATTTAATAAAAATAATTTCTAAGATCCTAAAATAAATTTCGAAATTTGCTAGAACGTTACACACTAATAAAAAATTATGAAGAGAAAAAATCTTAATCCAAAAACACACCATTGAAATAACATTTTGAAAAAAATAATTATCTTTAGTCAAGAAAAAAAATTTTGAACCAAGAAATTATTCATTCAAGTAAATTTGTCTTGGTTCAAGATTTTTTTTTTTTAATTGAAGATAATTATTTTCTTCAAAATATTCTTGGATCAAGATTTTTTTTCTTGAATCAAGTTAACTTTTTTATTAGTGTACACATGTATTAATATTTGAATGCTGAAAAAAAGCTACTTTATTTAAGAAAAATATTTTTTTCAAAATTTCACTCTTGTTTCAAGACATTTAGTTTGAAACTATTCACAGGAAAAAAGTTAATTTGACTGTGAGAGATAATTTTTTGGATCTAAGAAAATTTTTAAGATCCTGAAGAAATCTCGAAAATTTCTTGAATAAAGTATAATAATTTCTTAAATTATAAAATACTGAATTAAAAAAAAAGTTACTGAGGCTAATAAATTTTACACACTTCATTAATCAGTATCATTGCTTTTTTGAAATATTTGAATTTTTCGACATAATATGTACACTTTTCTTGAGCGAAGAATGTTATTCAAACTAAAAATACTCCTTTTTTTTACGGCAAGAATGCTACGTTCTTATGTCAAGAAAGTTTTCTTAGCTGGAGATCCTATCATTATTAAGTGCTTACTTTGACAACTATTCGAATGTATACTTATTCACAAGTTGTTTCAGCGCTTTGTCTCATTCTATGGTTGAATTTGATAAAAGGATTGAGTTAGGGGAAATGGTTTAGTTGCCTAATTCTACTTAGTGCACTTCAATCTTAGTCGATCGTTCTTCTTAGTCGTTGGATTAAAACTTTACGTTATACTGTTGCTCTATCAGATATATACACCTTTTTTACAAGGATTCGTGTGATATTGAAATTTTACCTGTCAGTTGAATTTTCTATCGATATTGGTAGGTAGACAGTTGTAAATAAATCTTTACATTACTTATTCTATTATTTATTTTTTAATTAAGAAGAAACTTATTTCATTACAAGAGAGAAATTTTTACTGTGCCATGTGATTCACGAATTCCTGGAAAAATAGGGAGTTTTCAATAAAAAGCGTATTTTACATCAGAAGATGTTTTGAATTTTATCATTGCGTATTCTTGAATAATTTGAATTAAAATTTAAATTCAACATCCTGTAATTTAACAAAACATTGGGAAGATATGATATAAACAACGAAATTTACGTAACTGCTTAACAGTAATTGTTACTATATAATTAAATTTATTATTTTATCAAAAAAGTATTTAATTGCAATAAAAATGTTTAAGAAAAGATTTTTCAAAATTTTCTTTTCTTTTTTAATTTAAATTAGGTTTATTCTTCAAAAGTTTTTTTACATCTTTTGAGCCTAAAATTTGAAAGGTTTCAAAAGCTCTTAGTAATAGCTCAATTTTGTAAGTAACTTTTGTTGAAAAACTAGATTATTCTGAATATTAATAACAAAAATTTTATCTTGCTCAATTAAGTATTTTTGTTATCATTTTTCATGGATCTTGTATTAAAATATAATCAATGATTGCAATATTATTATAAAACGAAATTGACATTAGCCCTTGAGTTTCAAAAATCTACTCAAGAGAAAAAATTTTATAATAAAGAAAACAAAAAAATTTCTTGAGCTAAGATAAAATTCTTGGTTGAAAAAAAAAATTTCTTGGCTTATCTTAGTCAAGCTTATCTTTCTACCAGAGCACTGTGTCCACCCGTCGGATTAGAAAAAATTGAGGCATTAGATAGAGAAACTTGGACAGGTTCATCCTAAGTGTGGTTGATAATGCAGGTAAATTAGTAATTCTACGGATAAAAAAAACTTTTGGTTTTGGTTACGGTTCAGAATCGATGAGTCAGTATTGAATCGACAATATATGATCAAATCAACAACATGTCAATACTGTATTTGCTCATTATTTACCGATGAATTATCGGCCATGAAGTTTGTGGTAGAAAGTGAGAGCGATGCAAATTAATGTTTGAAGGATCCTCTTTAATAATCATTAGCTGCGCTGCGAAGGCTTGTGACATTGAATTATACTCAAGACTTACGGTATTGATAGACAATAGTGCTCCTTTGTGAATATTTATGCAAACCTTGTCTTATACAGACCTATTTATTAATTAAAAAATAACAAATTATAAGAGCATTTCTACACGGGAGAGAAAAATATGGAAATCATTCCTATAATTTTAATGAAATATTTTCCTATACCATTATAGGAGCGATTACTTAAATTATGGGAATTATACCCATAATTTTTGGAAAACGTTACTATAATTATGGGAATGGTTCCTATAATTATAGGAACGATAACTATAATTAAAACTGTAATATCGGCATGATTCCCATAATATATAGGAATGGTTCCCATAATATATAGGAATAGTTTCCATAATATTATAGGAATGATGCCAATAATATTGGAGTAATTTTTTTTCACACAACTGTGGTATTTAATTAATTACTTTTCACTAGATTTATTTTTTTTTGATTAAGTGATTCTTTTTTTATCTTTTTTTATAATATATAAATTGATAAAAAAAGTTATCAGTAATAATATTTATTATTATTATCATTATGAAATTAATCAGTTGCAGCAGTTGATATTTTTTTAATCTTGAATGGTATACATGCTTGTAAATTAAAATAAAATTAATTAAAAAAAAAAAATTTAATTAAAAATTAATTAAAATCAATTACAAAAAAAAATTTTATTAGCAAAAAAATACATAATAATTATTTTATATTTTTAAAGTGATTGCTTCATTATTAAGAAAATAAACTTTTTTCTATTATTATGTGCGTAATTCGGACGTAAAATCTTTATAAAGAAAAGATAACACCTTCTTGTTTAGTGTAATGTTCTGTTCACTTTATACATACTATTAACACATAAAATCCGTAAATTTGATACTTGACGAGATTATTTGGGAATTAATTGTAAAACTGAAAAAACATTAACTCGAATGAAGAGAAAAATTATTTTGAGTAGTTTAATTATCTTAGATCAAGACGAAAAATTTTTGAATCAAGTTAAATTTCTTCTCTTCTTTATCTTCTTCTCTTTGAGAACAAAAATTGCAACATTATTTTAGAATTAAAGAGGATAAGATAGTATTAAACTTTTTTAATCCTCCTTTATCCTTTCTAATTCTCCTTGAGAACAGAAATCACAACATTATTTTAGAATTAAAAAGAATAAGTTAGTATTAAACTTTTTTAAATCCTCTTCTATTTTGCTGAATTATCTGCGAGAACAGAAATTGCAATATTATTTTAGAATAAAAAAGGATAAGTTAGTATTAAAAACATTGAATCCTTCTTCATTCTTTTTAATCCTAAAATGATAATAATTTTTTCGCCGGATGAAGGAGAATTAAAAAGAATTCATTTTAAGTTCAATTCGAATTCTCCGGATGAGAATTGAGAGTATTAAATTTTATTTAATATGTGTGCTTTTTGAATCCTTTTTAATTCTCTTTTTTAACCAGGGTTACTATGCCAAGTGCAATTTCAGAAAGTCTGTACCACATACTGACAGTTGATTGTTTGGAATTTGTTGATGGAATAGAAACTTTTATATGAGTCTGATTAGAAAAAGAGATTTGAAAAGATTAAAAAAAATTTAATTATCTTTTTAAACCTCCTTTTTTAATAAGAGTGATTCTACCTCAAATTTTTCGATTTAGCTGAAAATAATTTATCCCATTGAAAAAAATCATGAATTTAAAAAGTAACTTTTTTTTTTACCACAAGTTATTTAAAAATAAACTGATCAAAATATTTTTTTTCATTTTTTTCAGTTACATTGTTGAATATTTTAGAAATAAAATACCCAAAAATTTTTAGAAATTATCATCTGTGGAATTTTTCACTTTTTGAAAAAGTTTTAGAAAACTTTTTCAAAACACTTTCAGAAAACTTTTTTTTATTGTGAATAGTTCCGTGTTACATAAAGTGTGCTAACATTTCCTTCTATTTTTTTTTTTTTAATTTAAAAAAATTTTTTCTCAATGCTTAAGTTTTTTTTTTTTATCGTATAAATTTTGATTTTACGATAAATTAAGTTTAAATAAATTATTTTATGATATTTTCTACCCAATTGATCATTTAAGCGATTTAATTAATTATTTTCATTGTATGTTTAAAAAATTCCATATTAAAAAAAAATTTCTTAAACTGTTCTAGAAATCTTGAATCTAATTTTCTAACAACAATTCCACATCTGAAAGATTGCCGGAATTTACGAGTTTTGTAAGTAATAGAATAATTTGTTTTCTTCTCGAGCATGAAATAAAACAAAACAAATGCCTAATAATTGTATTGAACTTATGTAGATAAATGTAACTTTTCAGAAATTTAGTCAATAACAAAATAACTGAAATAACTGGGAACAAGTTTACAACATTAAATTTACTTCATGATTTACTGCTGTCGAGAAATGAAATTAAAACTATACCGTCTAATGCGTTTAACGGATTAAAAAATCTTCAAGTTTTGTAAGTTATGATAATTTATCTGAATCATTTCTACTGTTTCATCAAAAATTTTTCTTGATTGATTCAAGAATAAAAAAATAGTATTAAAAACAAATTTTATTTCTTATGATTCAATAGTTTAGTTAATCAGATCATTTAATTAAAAATTTTTATGTTTATAGAGACTTGCAGAGTAATGAAATCGAATATATTGATCCAGATGCCTTCAGCAGTTGTCAAAATCTAAAAGACTTGTAAGTTTTAATATTTCATATTACTTGAATTTAGAAAAATGTATCTAAGAGCAAAAATACTAATTTTATATCAATGTCTTTCAATAGAATTTTTTTTCTTAAAAAATAACTAACCGAATATTTAAAATCGTTATTTCTGTTCATAGTATTCTCAATTTTTAACTCGAAATCATACTTTTTTTTTTTTGTAAACCAGACCATTGATATTTTTGACAGAAATCTGGGAAATAATGTGTTTCCTACACTGCCAATTACTGGCCTCCAAAATTTGAGGCATTTAAAAACATTTAACAATCCTAAATTAGAAGAATTTCCATCTACAGAATCGTTTCCCAGTATAAAAACTATGGTATTATCATATGCTTATCACTGCTGTGCTTTTTTATCCATGAACAAGAATGAATTAATTGAAAGAATTCCAATCCGTGAATCAATTATTTTCCCTACTGATAATTCGCTTGACGCCTCACTTTGGAATTCTAGCTTACTTAACGTTTGGATTCAATTGCGTAAGTTGTATTTATTATATCAAATTTTTTTATGATTTACTACAATAGTAAATCATCTTCATCCATAATTACAGAGAAGCTAAGCAGGAAGAACAACAGTGGTATCAATAACTATTTGAATAATTTGGCTGTAAATTTTACGGAACACAATGGAACTTTTTCGAGTGATGATAATTTTTTAGACGCCCAAAATGAAATGCTTGCTACACCTACTGGAGAAACATATTCGGTGAAATGTTTACCTCGACCAGGTATAAAAAGATAATTAATGATGTAAATAAGTAAAACTATTTGTTTAAAGATTAACTTACATTGTAGGTCCATTCTTACCATGCAGAGACTTGTTCGATTGGTGGACATTGCGCTGCGGTGTGTGGATAGTATTTTTACTAGCAATGCTAGGCAATGGAACTGTCGTTTTTGTGATAGTTTTTTCCAGAAGTAAAATGGATGTTCCAAGATTTCTAGTGTGTAATCTTGCTGCTGCAGATTTCTTCATGGGAATATATTTAGGTAGATCAATCTTTTTAATATCTTATAGTTTTTTTTATTTGATTAAAAATGTACTGAAGTTAGCTGACAATAGTTAATTTTTTTAATTTTTATAATAAATCAATTACAATAAGAAAATTCTTTAAAAACTTTCCATTAACAATAATTTTTTTTAATTTTCTCATGTAGAATTTTTTTATTAAATTTTTTTCACAATAATTTCATTGTTATAAAATTATAAAACAATTTCTAATGTCTTTCAACTTCAGTGTCATGATTAAAAATCAAATTTAGTGAAATTATCGATAGCATTTATTGAATCATATCTTCAATTTTCATTAAAAAAATTCAAATCTCTTCAATGAAGAAAATTACCATAAAAATCGAAACGAATATTTTTTAATTATTATTTTCGGTTACACTATACTTCTTTATAAGAGAATGTAAATTTCTTTTTCTTCTTCTCTATTCACGAAAAAACTGAAAAAAATATTACAAACCTGAAGAATAATTAAATAAATACGGACTTTTCCTAGACTGGATTACAATGGAATCTTCCCAACTTCAACTCCCCACCATTTTCCACTAAAAAAGAGTGAAAGGGCTCTTCTACTGGCATGTATTCTCTAACTTCAATTCCTGGAATTTGGGACTTCTCAGTTGAAGTTGGGGAGACTGTACTGTAATTGTATGCTATGGGTGAATAGATTTTAAAAGCTCTCCCATTACTTTGAACAGTGAAAATTCAATGAGTGGGAGTAATTAGTAAAGGAAAACTATGAATATTATTTTGATGTCATTAATAGTTTTATGTGTAATATGAATAATACTAAAATTAGTAGACATCTAACAATTCTTGAAATTTTTGTAAAAAATATAATTTTTTAAAATTTCTACATGTAGAATTTTTTTCATTATAATTCAATTGTTATAAAAATCTACAAAATTTTGATGTATCTGTTAAATTCAGTATCATGGCATTGAGAGTTAAAATTTCTTTTGAAAAAAAATAAGCAATTTTGTAATAAGAAATTAATTTATTAAAAATTTTCCACAATTTTATTTTTTATCTGAAGAAATAAAAGTTTTTTTCACAGTAACTTTCTTGGGCAAAAAAAGTTTTTTTAACTTAGAAAAAAAAAGACAATTTTAGATAGACAACTTGCAAATTTTCATTCAAAATTAATTTTTCCCAAATCTAGAAAATTTTTTTTTGAGAAGAAAGTTATTGTGAGAAAAATTTTAATTTCTTCAGCTAAGAAATAAAATTATTTAAAATTTTAAACAAATACATTTTTAATTAGAACATTGTTTATTTTTTTACAACAAGTTTTTTGTCTTAGTGTATAATATGAAGTAATTGTCTTACTATTATAATACTTGTGTTACTGAATTCTGGATTTTTTTTTTGCAGGCCTCCTAGCAGTTATAGATGCATCTACATTAGGAGAGTTTCGAAAGTATGCAATACCATGGCAAATGTCTGTTGGTTGTCAACTTGCTGGATTTTTAGGCGTATTAAGCTCCGAATTAAGTGTTTATACATTATCAGTAATTACACTAGAGCGTAACTATGCAATAACACACGCGATTCATCTAAACAAACGGCTGTCCTTGAAAAATGCCGGTTATATAATGATTATTGGATGGATATTTTCATTATCAATGGCTATTCTTCCTCTTTTGGGTGTATCTGATTATCGTAAATTTGCCATTTGTTTACCGTTTGAAATAGATGGAACAGCCTCATTATCCTACTTGGTATTTTTGATGCTAATTAATGGGGTAGCGTTTTTAATTTTAATGGGATGCTATTTAAGAATGTATTGTGCAATTCGTGGATCTCAGGCATGGAATTCAAATGATTCAAGAATAGCCAAACGAATGGCATTATTGGTATTTACAGATTTTTTGTGCTGGTCACCGATTGCGTTCTTCTCGCTCACTGCCATGTTTGGACTGAGATTAGTGTCATTAGAACAAGCGAAAGTTTTCGCTGTTTTTATACTGCCATTTAATTCATGCTGCAATCCATTTTTATACGCAATAATGACAAAACAATTTAAAAAAGATTGCGTGCTAATATGCAAAGCCATTGAAGAATCCCGAGTCACTCGAGGAATCGGTAGATGCCGTCATAGTTCTAACTTCAGCAACCGCCAAACTCCATTCAACACCAATAGTATTGTAGATCGATCATCTCGAGAGCATCAGACTCTATGTGTGTGCAATTCACGGCACACGATCGTTAATAATTCAAAACGCTGGTGTGGATTAGAAATAATTTGGTCATGTGGCAAAGGTAAACACCAGCGGCGAAGTAGAGTTGATCAATATGCTTACCGTATAGCCGAAATACAGCAAAAGCAACATAAAAGAGCATGCTCGATGTCTTCAAGTGAAAATTTCTCGTCATCACGATCCGATTCTTGGAGACAAGCTAATCATTGTAGCATTCCATTGAGATTTATAGACTCGAAAAAACACGGATCGTTATGGCTAATAGCACGTAAATCTTCCCATGACTCTAATTTAAGCTCATCAAGAAACGATTCATCCAGCTCAGGTATTACTGCCAGTACTAGCACCTGGAAAATTTCAAGGTCGAGTACATATTCAGATATTGGAACTCCAAAACTTGCTCGACCTAAACCGAGGTTGATACGGCAATCGGCTGTTCAAGAGCCAGATTCTCTTTTTAGTCCTTCTCGACTTGCAGTAAGACTTCTCGCGACTATTCCATCCGCTGCTGATACAAATGAACAATTAGCAATAAATAATGATAAAAAGTTTGAAGATAATGAAGGTGAAGTTAAGATTGATGAAAAATCTGTATGTATTAAATGAATTGTATTATTAATATATTAAATTATTGATTTTGTGTTTTGTAAAATATATTAATTATAAAGTAGATAAATTTATTATTGACTAATATATTTACCTTATATTTGTTAGTGTCAAAGCTTATTTTATCTTTTGCACAGTGCCAAAATCAAAGAATCTCATAGAGAAGATTAATTATAAATAAAAATTTATTTCTAGTTGTTTTTTAAATTAAGTGTTTATATATGAAGTTAATAAAAACAAAAACATACTTTTGAAAATTACGATGAATATATAAAATACAAATTACGATAAACATAAAATAATTATTGATCTAAAACCAAATATTTAATAGATGGTTGAAAGATTTTATAAATTGTAAAATATATCATTATCTATGAAAAAGTTTTTCTAATAAAAATATTATGAAAAAACGTTTAACGAGACTCTTGGGTCATTCCATATGTAGTCTTGGTAAGGTCTAAACAATTCTCAAAAACGTCTCACGCTCGTGTGAAGCTTTATCAGTAAATTATTTTGGCTAAAAAGTTTAATGTATGGACACAAACCCATTTTTATATTGATATAGATTATAAATAGGAACAATTAACAATTACTGTTATAGTGCACAATTATTTATCTCGTATCGGTATCAAGTTCAATACTTTCATTTTGATTTATCGTCAAAACATTACTATGCTTCAGTTCACTTTTGTCTTCATATGATGGTCTCACACATTGACTTCCATACGGTGGTTTATCTGAAGAAAAAAAAATAGAATTGTTAAACTCACCTATTAAATAAATTTGTATCGAAAGTTTTTCTGAAATTTTAATGTGAGAGTACAAAAATAATACCCATAATATTAAACAATCAACTCCGGAATTATTGATAGCCTTTAAAATTAGCACTCAAAATTTTAACAGATACCGATTCAGCGTAAAGAGAGACTAAAATTATTTAATTATTGTTACTATTATCTATTACATTAATAATATTCAAAACGTAAAAATTGCAAAAAAATTATTAAGATTTTTGTTGCAAGCCATAAAAATATTTTAATAAAATTTTGCATTCACTACTTACAGCTTTTTGAAAAGTGCGGATTTTTCAACACTTGTTTTATGCAGTTATAAATAAAAGTATATTGACTCTGAAATGAAAACGTATTAATTATTATTATAATTTGAGATTTTAAAAACAGAAGAACAATTAATAAATTAAAAAAAATTGATATACGTACTTCTCGTTGGACCATATTTATTCTTTGCTGCCGCAGTCGATAAACAGTACCAAATACGTCCAATTTTCTATTATCTTTTAGATGCTGAAGTATAATATCTATCGCTATCAGTGTTCCGGTTCTACCGATGCCTGCACTGAAAACAGTAATTAAGAATTAATAATTAACCGGAGAGATATGTACCATTGCAGTTAAAAAGTAGATACTTACCTGCAATGAATAACTACTAAATTTCGGCTAGCATTTATATTGCGTCTCATGATTTGACAAAAATTAATCATAGCATCAAAATCTTCAGGAACATCATGATCCGGCCAATCTTTGAACTGTAAATGGACTATTATTCTTTTTTCTTCGTCCTATTAAAATTAATAATTATCGTAAAAATATAGTCACTATTATTATTTGTATAAAGATCATTCTATGTCAAATCCACCAATAGTTGGCATCGACTTTCAATCGACCCCTCTCAATGTGGACGAAATTTTGCCAAGAATTTTCTTTTACTATAAAACAAAGTATTTCCAAGAAAAAAAAAATTTTTAATTTTTATTAAAATTTATTCAAAATTAAAAATTTTACCATTTTTCCAATATTTAAACTTTATTTTTTAAATGTCTAGAAAACTATTACAGATACAAAAATGAAGTTGCGTTTGCTTAAAAAAAAAAAAAAAAAATACTTGGAGCTATAGAAGAACATTTTAAAAAATGAAAAATTTTTTTAATTTTGAATTTTTTTAAATCCACATTTGAGTTATTTGAAATTTTTGAGTTTTTCAATCAATAAAAGTGTATAAAACAACATTCTTTGGTAAAACTGTCATTATAATGTAATTGGGATCATCTTAAAGTTCCAGAAAAACTTAAAAAGAAAATTTATTTATTTATTTATTAGTTAGTTTATTTAAGGTCGCTTGAAACAGCACGGTCATTCTTGACCACCGTTGTACATTAATTAATTTGATAGCAGCATTTTAGAAAAGAAAATTATTTAGAGTAAAATTTTAGAATGAGTTAAACAGGTTCGCCAAAAAAAGTAAAAAAAAAAAAACCCAAAAAATTCTCAAGTTGAACTTTAACTCTCAATAAATTTTGAAGAATTGATTTTTTAAAAAAATCACAAGAGATCTTTTTTGTAGTACGTTCAATTCCTTATAAAAAATGTACTCTTATTTTACTGCATCGATGAGCCGTTAGAGAGTTACAAAACTTGAAAGCTCAAAAAAAAATTTTCCTATATTATTTAAATTGAAAACACAAATTCTACAAATTTTTCAAAATAGTTTTTTTCTTCTATAACCTCAAGGATCCTCTTTGAAACAAACGAAGATTCATTACGGTATTTATTATTGGAAAAATGTAAATAATTTGAAAAAACATTCGAAAAAAATTTTTTTTATTTAATTTTTTTGGCAAATTTTTGTTTAATAATGAAAGAAAATTTTTGACCAAATTTCATTTAAATTAAAAGGGGTCAATCCCAACTATTGGTCGATTTGACATGGAATTGACTCATAAGTTATAAGTAATAACTTTTTGAAGAACCAATGTCCTTTGAGTGTAGGATCTGTAGTCAAATTCAGAAGAACATCTTATCGACATTTTTTCATATGTAAAAGTTTCACGAATTGTCGGAAAATATTGACAACATTTTTCCTTGTTATTTTCTATGAGTGACGTTAGCATTATAATCAATCTAACATTATATTGTTCTACCATACGCCAAAAATCGTAAATTGTCTCTTCTTTCGGCGCTTGACATGCTATGTATTCTTCGTCATTACTAAATCCCTGCAAAATAATTTAATTGATAAGAATTAATAAAGGTCAATGACATATATTTTGAAAAAAAAAAAGATTCAATTAACAGATAAATATATAGCTTCTACACTGATAGAAAAACTATTTTCATCCAAAAAATTTATTTTGAAGACGAACGATTGTTGCGCTTTTTTTTTGCCTTAAATAAATAAATTAATTTAGTTTTTTTCTTCGAACTTCATTCGTGGTTTAAGAACTAGTTTCTTTATTCAAAATCACAAAAAAATTTTTTTGAAAGATAAAATTTGTACTTTAACATATTTTGATATTTATATAGTATAGGGTGTGCCAAAATTCAATTTCCGTAAAGAACCTTTTGAAATTGGAATTTTGAGTTCCGCTTTTAACAGGAGCTGTGTTTGGGCGTTACCTGATATATTTTGGGTTGAAATGATTTATTTTATTTTCATAAAATTTTTAACAGAATACTTGATTTGGGCAATTCCGTTGAAATTTCCGCATTTGGCCGGGAGTGCCCAACCAAAGCTCCTGCTAAAAGCGGATTTAAAAATTCTAATTTTAAAAGGTTTTTCACGGAAATTGAATTTTGGTACACCCTACTACATAGTTACTTAAATAAGTAACAGAAATCCGAAGATTTTTACATTTAGAAAAAAAAAATTTATATATGTAAAAAATTGATTACCTTTATAAATGATGCATTTATATAATCACTATTTGGATCGTTATCGATAATATCTAACTTAACTCTTGAAAAGTCATCTGAAATTATTCCAAAGTTAATTAATTAATATAAAAGAATACCTCTAATTTTATAGATAAAAAAGTATATTATCAATCATACAAGGAAGAATATCAGTATAACGATTTTTTTTTCTATTCGCATGAAGACATCCAGCATTTGTTGGCATTTGTAAGTCTAAACTCAATGTTTGCAATAATTGAAATTCATTACTGAGTTTCCCGGGATTGTCAGCTAGTTGTTGACAGTGAATTATGAACTTCCGTCGGTTAAATGGTGCCGGAACTGGAGATCCTGGCATATTTGAGTTTAATAATCGTCTTAATACTCTATTAAAATAAACATATAATTAACTAAAGTTCATGTAAACACCACATAAGGTTCTTCAATTGTTTAAACTTTTTGCATACTTACGTTTGAACTGAACATTTTTTTACAAGTAAAAATATGGTGATAAGAACTCCTACTGATAAAATACCAACTATCGATCCAATTATTAAGGATACTTGTAATTCAGCGTCTGGAAATAAAACATTGATCGGTAATTTTATTAGAAACTCATAAATAATAACAATAACAATAACTAACTTACTTGTTTTAATTTGAAATATTCTAGAATCTCGATATCCGCCATCAGTAAATGCCCTCATTCTGACATCATACCAAGTATCAGGGTTCAAAGGACCATTGCAATACGACACTTTGATCTTTGACAATTCAGGACAAGTTTCAATATCTTCACCAATTTGAAATTTGATAGCCTTCAACTTTCCATAATCTACGACATGTGCTGCGCAAAAATAGAAAAAGAGATTATTTTGGGTTTAACTTGACAAATATTAAATATTAACGTAAGCTTACGCTCATGCGAGTCATTGCAAAATTTAGACGCTTGATAAGGTATTGTAAACCCTTTTTGTGCAGATTCAATCCAAGAAGCTATCGAGGGCCATTCTCCAGCTTTCAAGTCATTTCTAGAAAAGTTTCCATAGTTAAATCCAGCTTTTGCAACGATTATGGCATAGCATCTTATTTCACCATGAGTATTCAGAAACAATGGTAGTAAAATTGTTGCCGAATACGTTGTTTTCCGAGTTTTGTAGGGATCAATCGTAATTTGATCAAGGTACTCAGTTTCTGGATCTGATGGAACTGGAAAATAAAATACTTTATCGACTTAGCAATAAGTACATAAAAAAGGTCTACTGGAGTCTTAAAAATTTTTGAGAAAATCCAAAATAGTTTCGGCCGAAATAAATATTTTTCTTAAAGCAAGAAAATTTTTTCTGTTCAAACAAATTTTACTTCGGCCAATATAGTTAAAAAGATTTTTTTTCTGTTTTTCAAGATTTTTTTTCCTGTACTCTATAAATAACTTCTATCAATCAGTAAAAATGAAAAATTCTAATTATCTGTATACTTACCGCCAGCTGGGTATAATAATGTGATTTCTTCTGCAGGTCCTAAAGGTTTAACATCTTTAACCTTTCCAGCTACAGAAAAATAGTACGTATATTCATCCTTCAATTGCAACTCGACCGTGCACATATCATCAATACATATTTGTGACATGATGGTTGCATTCAAATCATGATTTGGAAAATTGTTTCTAGTTCCGATTCCAGTAACTACGAAATGTTCTATTTTTACTGCATTTATAAAGCAAGGAAGTCCCCACGATAGAGAAGCTTCGAGATTGGTAGCATCATCAGAGACTTTTTTGAAAATATAGGTGAGATTAGATACTGGTCCTGGTGCTGGTAACAAAAAACAATGAAACCGTGTTTAAATAATCCAAGTTGACAAGAATAAAATATCCGACATGAAGGATCATATACTGATAAAATGATTTCTTAGTATTTAAGAAGATTTCTTTGTATTTAAGGGGGATGGCCACTGTGAGGATCGAAGAAATAGGTGATTTTCCGGAATTTTTTTGACTGGGATAATAAAGGATTTCGGGGATCGGGTTTTTTTTTTTATTTTATAAAGTATCCATTAAAGATAACTCTCCTAAATTTTTATTAAAAAATATCATGTTGTCACAAAGTTATTAGCATTTTTGTGGAGCACCAAAAAAATTCCCCCCTCCCTGATGAGATTTCTAACTCAAAAACGGATTATCTAAAACGAAAAAACGAAAGAGCGTTGTAATCTGCATACATGTGGTTACAGTTGCACGTAGGGGATTTTGAAAATTTGGATTTAAAAAAAAATGGCGACATATTAAAAATTTTTTCGTTTTTTTTCCTCATTTTTTTGGATTCAAACAACCCTAAAAAATCTTAAAAATCAAAATTTTCAAAATCCCCTACGTGCAACTATAGCTATTGAATAGACGAATACGGAGGAAAAAAAAAGTTGCAAATCGGTTCATATTTATGCAAATTACAGTTCTCATCAGTTCAAAAAAAGTAGTTTCAAGAAAAACGCGTTTTCGTCGGAGTGCCGCGCGTGTAAAGTCATTTGACGCGCTGTCACAAAAATGACTATAACTCGGAAAATATTCGGAATTTTGATACCAAACTCTAGATACTTATTTATGAATCTATAAACTTGGATTTAATAAGAAAAAAAAAATTTATTTTTTTGGAAATTTCACTGTGGCCATCCCCCTTAAGAAATCATTTCTTAGTATTTAAAAAATATTTCTTAGTATTTAAGAATTATTAATTATTAATTTCTTAAATTACTAAATATTAAGTGACTATAGATTATAAATTATTCGATTATTTAACCTTTATACTTTTCCATCCCGTAAGCACATCCACGTATTAGGCAAAGGTATATATGTATATTAATTTATTTATTTAAACATATAAACATATATTTTTTACTTATAATTTAGGATACTTTTATGTATTTTGTTCGGTTAATTATTTATTGATTGTCATTGTTTAAGTTTATACCAATATCCTGTATATATTTTATTATTAATAATTATACTTATTGTTTAACATATTATTGTTATAAATTTGCTTCGTTGTCATAAAGTTTATATATCATTTATTACTTCAAAATTTTATCGTCTAAAATTATTTATGTGAGCATTACTTGCAATTTTATGAGGCATTTTATCTTAATATTATAATTCTATTAATTATAGCCACTCTGGAAATTTCTTATTTGACGTAGATCCTTTAAATTATTATTCGTATTCATTACCTTAATATTATATATTGTAAGACTTAAGCGATTTTGTTTACACATACAATAAAACCCTCATTTACCTTTTCACGTAGGTTTAATTTCCGAGGTAACAGGCGGATGCAGTTAGGGCTAGACTACTTATACCGGGTCTCCTTATTAAATTATCCTTTTGTTAACTAACAAACGTTCCAAAAATTCCAGTTAACAAGAAAACCTGGCTATATCTCTGAAGCCATATAAGTCGAAAAACTTTGTGACATTGTATCTTGTCAACTAATGATACTTATCACTATCTTTCACTTAATTAACATCCTCATACTCGAACAGATACTACAAGCTTCCAGCTTTACTAGTATTTAAGTTTGATGGGTCCCATCAAACTACTGTGAAGAGAGAATATAGCTCTCGATCAAAAGGGAAAATGAAAGATCCATCTTTAGACTTAAATTAGAAAAAACACTGGTCTTCGACCGAAAATAGGCCAAAACTTTAACTCATAATGATATTTATATTTATTAAAAATGTATAACTTCATCTCGATATTACACTCATCGAGACTTTTCATTTGAGTATTTACATAAATTTTTTATATATTTTATATGTTTTACATATAAATATAATATTTATAATTATTATAATAATTAGTTAGAAAATTGGGATGGAATTTTTTGCGGGCAAATATCTTGAAAACTTCTACTGATATTCTAAAAAAAAAAAAATTGTGATAAGGAAATCCTTTCGCTTCAGTTGAGTCAAAACAATTGTAGTAGTCAATATACGATAAATTAAAAAAAGAAACCCATAAAAATTCCTAAAATTAAATAATAAATAGAATATGAGGCATTAATCGTTGAAATTTTGAAAATAAAAAAAAAAAAAAATAGTTAAATACAAAAATTAATTTGACTCTTTCAAACCAACTGCTAGTAACCTGTCCGTGATTTGGCAACGCTGTACTTCGGCTGTTTACATTTTCATTTGCACAATATAACCTTAAACACGTTTAAGTTTTTGCAGTCAGTGTAAATAAATAAATTAGTTTGAATTTATTAAATGGTCTGAAGTCCGGTAAAGTATAATTTAAACCTCACTATTAGATATATAAGGACCTTAACTATTAGAAAAAAATTGAATTTACTCATAATCTAATATTTTTTATTTTACATTGGCGGCGAAAGGACCTCCTTAAGTATTATTGTTTTTGTAATAATAAAATTATTTATTATATAGAAAACTATATTTGAAGATAGAACTGATTTGAATTTTCTAGTTCGAATTTTCGAAAATTCATTTTGACAATAAAAAAAACCCATCCAGTTTCAAAACAGGTTGATAATTTAGGCTAACCAGGAATGATTTTTGTTAATAAAAATTCGGTATCATCATAAATTCTGTTTGTATGAATGTAAGCATTTAAAAATTTTGTAAAAATATTGTTTTAACATTACAATTTTCTGTACAATCATTGAATTTCAAAGTGTCCAAAACTATAGCACCATATGAAACTTGTATCAGACTTTTGAGCTCGAAGAGCTCAAAAGCATAGAAAAGTTATCTCTTAAAGCTTGGAGAGCTCAAAATAACACATAAATTGTATTTTTGAGCTCAGAGAGCTCAAAAACTTCATAAGTGCAATTTCAAGCGCCTAGGTATGGAATTAGCGGGGAGTTGCAGGAATGGCCTTTTTCAGGGCAGGGTCAACCGTTTTCCTAATTTTATTTTTCGTTCTGCTCTCAATTTTGCATCGGCTCATCAATAAATTTAAATGAAAAAAATTACAAAAAAAATTTGAAATGGAAAAAAAACTTTTATGTTGAAAGAAAATTTTTTGACGTGATAACGTCTTATAAATTGATGAACACCGACAGCGCTCACGAAAAAATGTCGCGTTCCGACAGACCGTTCCGCTTTTGTGTTCCTCCTGAGCGTTCCGTCTGAGCCTGTGAGTGCAAGCGAGAACGCGCAACAACCGATAGAGAGGCACGATCAAACAAACGATAGAGAGGCCCAAGCATTGGCTTATGACATATATCTCTCTTTTCGCGTAACGTCAGAGCTAGCAGTCAGAATATTGTTCTATAACTAATTGTTCGTGATTATATTTAAACAAATTATATCAATTATATCAGATTATTATTGTTGATAATATTAATAATTGTTAATAAAGAATATCAATTATAAATAAATAAATTAATAATAATTGTAAACGATAAATTAATAAAATAATTAATATTAATTATAAATAATAATAATCATATCAATTATCAAATTATTGTATCAATTTTTGATTAACAATTTATCGATAAGTCCTTTTTTTTGTTAAAATAATTTTTAAATATTCAAAATTTTTAAATTTTTAAACACAAAATAATGATAATTCAGTGATAATAATTCAATTCAATCCATAAAAGTATGCAATTTTTCATCAATGTTTCTTTATAACGTTATCACGTAAAACTATCGTCCGTAAACCGACTTTACAGACAACCAATTTTATTCCAGTAAAATAGTTTAAAAATTTTTTGTTTTATTTTTTCAAATGATTTAAAAATTCTATTAGTGAAAATTAAATTTTAAAATAAAAATTTAATATTCATTTTAATAAAATATTTATAAAATATATTAAAAAATTTTTATTTTGCTTTTTTCAAATTTTTTTTTTAAAGTCAAATTAAAAAAAAAAAACTTACTCAAATACTAAAATATTTTTACAGCTTTCATAATTTTTTATTAAAGTATTTTTCCCAAAAAACTCTAAATTTCCTTCACAAAATTTACTACCGAGGTAATAAATGTAATAAATTTATTCAGGCTTTAGAATTTCAAAAATCTTATCTAGCATCTGGAAAATACACCTTTGAGGACTTTGTTAGACTCTAAAGGAATCCTTTTTCCAAATAAAAGTGGCTTACGTCAGAATTCTAAAAGAAAAACTCTTCAAAGAGCATATTAGTCAGCAACATAAATATAAAACATTACACGGAGAGAAAAATATGGAAATCATTCCTATAATTTTAATGAAATATTTTCCTATACCATTTTAGGAGCGATTATTTAAATTATGGGAATTATACCCATAATTTTTGGGAAACGTTACTATAATTATGGGAATGGTTCCTATAATTATAGGAACGCAGACAACCAACTTTTTTTTTTTTTTTTTAATTTGGTTGTCATCTTCATCCCGTTGAATAAAAAATATGGGTTTTGTTTTCTAACGGTTTGTAACTTCTGTACTTTAATCATCTTTATTTCAATTTTATTAAATTAATTAAAAGTCGATGTCCCCGAGATTCCGGCAATATTCGTTACACGAATATTGAAGCACAAAGCACAAAATTCTTGACTTTTATCTGCACAGCAAATAAATGTTCCTAAAAACAGTTGTTCTTAAGATTACTCTGATTTTTTGTTAAAAAAATCCGATTAACAGTTTTTTTCAAAACTACTGTTCATTTTTACAATTTTGGTGAAAGAAATTTACTGGCGGTTTTTGAAAACTTTGGTTTTTTTTTCAATTTTTGATTATGCCCAGGTGGCCTTTTTATCTGCGACAGAAGTCGCTCAGTTAGTGATCCTGGTACAAGAGGGATACAGGTATCAGTAAGTCGGCGATAGACTGGGCGTTTCTACCTCCGTTGTGTGTGTTGTGCTTACAATCGGTACCTAAAAACTGATGGTTACGGTCGACGGTTTTGCCTGTATGGCAATGATCGAAGACCTCAAGTTTGGCGTCGTCAGGAAGAGCGTTTTTTACAGAACTGTACTCGGCCTGTTGCAGTTTATAATGGTTTGGGTTGGAGTTTCGCGATTTAGACGAACTCCATTAATAAATTGTCCGTCAAAATTTAAATGCTATATGCGTTATATCGATCAGATCTTGCGACCTTTTGTATTGCCTGAACAACAGCGGAATCCGAGAAGATTTGTTTTTATGCAAGATAACGCTCGCCCTTACACTGCTAACATCACCCGTCGGTTTTTTAAAAGAAACAACAAAACGTTGTTACGGCACCCAGCGATGAGTCCCGACCTCAACCCTATTGAATATATCTAGGATATTATGGGCCGTCGATTGCGTCAAAATTATCCTAACTTGAGGAACTTAGCTGCATTAGAGCAAGCATCAAATGAAATCTGGCGACGAATCCCTCAGCGGATGATAAGAAACTGCATTTCGAATATGCCACATAGTTGCAAGCAGTGATAAGAAGCAGAGGTGGCAACACGCGATATTAATCTCTCTCTACACACACACATACACACGTGCGTAAGCACAAAAGAAGCGTAAATCCGATCGTGCAACCTCCACGTGGTACGCTTTGGGTTACGCGAATGCTGGCGGTTTTGATATTCAAATTTATCAACATTTTCTTCTAGGAGTACAAGAATTTTCCTTCGTTTTCACAATTTTCGAATTTTTTTTTTTTTTTTTTTGTCATTTTTTTCACTCAACTTTACTGAAAAGCCGATGCAAAATTGAGAACAAAACGAAAAAAAATATAAATTTTTCATTTTTATGAAGATTACGCCAAGATAATGGATAAAGATCTTGTTCCTTTAATTTTTTCAAAATTTTGGATGCTCGGGGCGGAAAAACTACTCAATGGATCGATCTGAAAATTTACAGGGTTTTCAGGGGTACATTGAGGTGTAAAAATTCCTGCAATGTTTAGCTTTCCCGTCGATACTTATTAAGACACGGTCGATTAACCAAAATAAGGGAAAAAAACACTTTTTTCAACTTTCTTCGAACCGGTATTGTACATCGATAAGATTTTTTTTTCTAAAATTTTTCATAGTATTTCATTGAGAATTTCTTCCAGTTTTTAAAACTGTACTTTTCTTTGTTGTACGATTATTGGTTGCAGAGATATTAACGGTTAAAGACATAAGCGTCCTTTCTTGTTTAATCTTGGATATCTCTACGACAAATGGTCGTATCAAGCAAAATAAAAAATGAAATTGAAGCTGAATAAACAGGCCATCTGTTTCATATGGTCGATTTGTCTAAATAAAAATTTCCGAGCCCGCAGAGCAAAAAAAAACGATCAAAAATTTGAAAAATCTTTTTTCGCTCTATTTTTTCGGATCATGTTAAAACCGTAATTCCTAAAAAAACTTTGACCTCGAGATTGAAAAACTAGAGTCTTGGAGCTTCAAAATGGAGTTTTTATTTTTACGATACGATCATTTTCCGCTGACATACAGTCCGTCAAAAATTGGAGAAAAATTTGCATTTTTTTTATTCCCTTAATTTTTGTGAGTAGTGTACGTTATCTTATCAAGAATACAAATTCTAAGAAGTATTTTTTTCTGTTAATATACGACACTACATGAGATGTGAGTATTTATGGTGTGATTGGATATAGAAATTTTTTCTAGAGAAAGTATACTTATAACTATGAAAGTCAAAAACTCAGATTCTACTTACCACCAGGGTGTGTTGCAAATGACACACTGTCACTATAATTACTCCAACCAGCCAGCGTTTTTGCTCGAATTGACGCTTGGTAGCTAGAAAATGGATATGCTTTTTCATATGACAATGACGATGTACTCCCGTTGAGAATAATACTGTATTCACTCTTGCCTGAAAAATTACTGCACCATATCGGTTGATGAAATTTATAATACCACGTGAAATTAACTTCAAATTTTGATATATGGCCTGGTAGATAGACTGGTAGTTTCCAAATGAATGAAAATTTTTTATCTGTGTTATTGAATACGGATAGCTCTGGAGAAGTGGATACTGCAACAAATTGAAATCTTGATCCTGATATTATATAACAATTAAAAAAATTGATGAAGAATAAAAATGAAACTTACTGTCTTCTGAAGTTTTTAATAAAACTGTCTCGCTTTTACTACTGTTCTTACGATCATTAGAAGTTATACTAAAACATTCATATTCAGTGTGTGGTGAAAGAGAATTTATTGTGGTAGTAATTATTCTCTGGATAAACTCTTCAGTAATATTTATGAAGGAACTACTGTTCGTTCCATTATAGCCCAAACCAAGAACTTTATTATAATTACAAACTGTCAAAATTTTCATGTTTCCGCAATTGTTGAATTCATTGATATCTAATTGCCATGCAATCGCTATTTCATTCTTCCCAGGATTTGATGACAGGTACATGGGAATTTCTGGGACTAGAGTAAAATATTTAATTAATAGCATAACATATCATTTATCATTTAAGTATTACATTGGAAAAAAACTACTTGATTCAAAAAAATATTTTCTTTAAAATTCCACTCTTATTTTCTTGTTTCAAGGTATATTCAGTTTTTTTAATCGTGCTAAAACGAAATTCAAAACATGAAATTTTTAAAGTGCGACAGCCAAAAGGGTGGGTATGAAAAAATAGTCAAAATAGCTTTCAAAAATCTCAGAAAAATTGATTTTTGGAAATTGAATTGAAAACTCTAACACATCACAATTTTTTGAACTTTTCAATTTTTCGTATTTTGTGGAAATTCGTTAAAAAAAATCAAAAAAAATTTTCTAACTTTTCGTTAAAAAAATCGAAAACTTGAAAAAATTGAGCTGTAATAGTTTTTTAGTTCAATTTTATTTCATTAGAAATCGACGCTTTGAGGTCATTAGAAGCTATTTTGACTATTTTTTCATAAACGAAATATTAGCTTTAAATTTTATTTTTGTATTTTTTAACTAGATTTTTACTTTTTTACATTCCCAAGTTGAGTAAAGAAAATAATATATTTACACACCTAGTAAGAAATATCTCAGATCACAAGCCGAGGTCGACAAACATGTGATCTGAGACATTTCTTATTTTCCTGCCCTAGATGAGTAATATACTAATTTTATACGCTCTTTTGGTTCTGCAGAATCAAAAGAACGTATATTTTGAAATACGCCTTTTGGCATTACTTAGTAACGTAATATTTTTCATTAGAGTATTATACTTAAGTCTTTGTATTCCAAAATTTGGCAATGATTTTTTAGCAGCTATAATTCGATGATAATTCAATTTTTGAGCATTGAACTGAGAAGAGTATAACATCCCAAATTAAATAAAAAAATACGATTTCCACAATAGAAAGGTAGTCAAAACGATATAAATTACTTACTAGGAGCTAACGTTTTGTTAGAATAAAAAATATAAGGACTACTGTCATTTCCGAACTGATCGATGGGAACAATAATAACATTATAAATACTGCATGATTGCAGATTATTAAACATTATTTGATATCCAGTAGTCGTATTTTCTTTGAATGCATTGTTATATGGGTGATCTTGGCATACTGTTATCCGATACAAGGCCACACAAGATGCTCCAATTGGCTTGCTCCAAAAGATAATCAAAGAATCATTTTGCGGTAAAGACCATGCAGAGGATGGTGCACTTGGTTCTGAAATATTTAAAATTTTATTTTTTATCACTGATCAGGATTAATTTTTTTAAGGCAGAAATATTTTTAGTATAGTTTACTCAAAAACCCAGTCACTCCCGTAATGTTAGTACTGCCAAATTCTCCATTTTCTCCATGAAGAGATACTGAGAAATGATATGTAGTGCACGGTAATAAATTAGTGGCATTGTAAAGAGTTTGAGTAACGTTGGCTTCCTCGCATAGATTTGCATGGCAGTATGTTATCACATTTTTCATTATACAATCATCACGTCCTGGTATATACCAACTAATTGCTAACCAATCAGTACTGTTCCCTGTGATTTTTAAATTCAGCTGATCCTTGTCAACTGCAAAATACAAATCCACGTTGTTAGTTTAATATTATAAAAACGGACATATTTAGCATTATAAATGGCCTAGTTCGTTGGCTTAAAAAGTTAGTTGATTTTTGGGAATTCCTCGTGAGCTTGCTATAAAAGTTGTTAAGGATGATAAATAAAGTATTAAATTACAAAAATAGATATTTTTTTATTAATTTTTTTCAATTTAAAAAAAAAAATTTGTACTCAAACGGAATATCATAATTTGGAGGCAGATCAGCTCCTACACGATATTTCGGCACAGCTTATAAACCGCAGTGTTTTAGATTCAGTATGACAATAGCTACAAAAAAGACTATTCATATTAATTCTGAACAATTTTTGTTAATTTTAAGTAACAAAAACCAAAATCAAAGCGGCATTCGGCCACACCCAACATGGATAGGTAAATTTCTTGTTTGAATATCTAAAAAAACACGTTATTAAAAGGCAATAATGTCCTAAAACTTATTTTTTATCACATTTTTGCAAATAACGATATGAAACCAACTACAACAAATAGATATTCAAAGACATCTATCTAAAAAATAGGATTTGTTGCGGATTAAAGTCATTTGATGATAAAAGCTAATAATTAATTTATTCTTGATTTTTTTTTAATTTTCCCAACTATGAAATAAATTGAAAAAATTATCAAAAGTTGACGAATAATAGCTTAAATTGAAGATAATCAAATAAAGTTTGAGATAAATTCAATAGATTTCATCTATCTTACACCTGAAAAATTATTTCGATAAAATATAGGAAATAGTATTGAATCCACAGAATGAGTCCACAAAATTTCATTAAGATCGGTTATATACATAAATACATAAATAAACTTTGAAGCCAATGCCATTTTTCGACATTACTCGATAAAATGAAACCGGTTATGACAAAATTTTTTTAAAATTACGACATGAGACTGACTACAACAGATAGATTTCTAAAGAAATCTACCTAAAAATAGTAAAAATCAATATTTTAACATGATGGTAATCTCTATTTTGCGGGTATTCATATGTTCAGTATGTGGTTAAAATTTCAAAAGGATCAGCCCACAGGTTACCGAGAAATCATGTTGGCTGTCCGTAAAAACATAGTTTTGAGAAAAACGCGTTTTAAGTTTATTCTTTAAATAAAAAATTATAAAAAACCTTACCAAAATTTAATCTGCTAGCCTTTGTCCGAAACTGTTAACACATTCCCGAAAATTCTTAGATACATATGGGGTATTCCATGCCGAATCGACCACTTTTGAACTCGGCCCCTTTAGATTTGGCTGAAACTTCATCCTTCTGTTCTACCCACTGAAAAACATTTTTGAGAATTTTTTCAAATTTTTTTATCCAACCCAAAAAAAGTTATGAATTTCCTAAAAAAGTGGCTTTTTTATTTTCAAATAGCCATAACTTTCTCAGACATTGACCTTTGGGTACCTTTTTTTTTTTAATTTTTGTTTTTCAATGAACTTTTCGAAAAAATACACAAAAAAAATTAAATATTTCAAAAACTGTGATATACTTTATTCACCCGAATGCTACATAGTAGCATTGAAGAGTATTTTTGTCGATTCATTTAAACACATATTTTTAACCAACGTGCGCAGTCAGTAAAAACTATATTCACAAAATTGATAAAACACTTACGTTTATTAAAAATTAATTTTTTATTTTGTTTTGTTATTATTCTTCTATTGGAATTAATAGCTTATATAAAAACCACATTAGTTACGTGTTGAATAACATTATTTATTCATTGAATAATTTGAACATTAATTAAATAAATAAATAATCCTGGTTCTTAATTTTATTAATAATATTCGTTAATATTAAAATTACGACATTAGGAAAAAAAATTATAAGAACTGTTGACCCTGAAGGCCATCCCTGCAACTTCCTGCTAATTCCATGCCTAGGTGCTTAAAATTGCACTTATGATATTTTTGAGCTCTTCGAGCTAAAAAATACAATTAATGTGTTATTTTGAGCTCTTCGAACTTAAAAATCTAATAGAAGTTTCATAGAACACTATTTTTTGAATTTTCAAACCGCAATAACTTTTGAATGAATGAACCGATTGTCATGCGGTTGGCAGTATTCGACGCAGTTTATTCAGCCTTATAAAGAATCTTTAACTTTGAATTAATCGAACTAGGAATTTTGGAGTAATTCCAAAAAAAACATTTTTTTCGGTTTTTTCTTTTTCGTTCACGATATCTCGAACGAATCAACCGATTTTGATCGAATTAGCGGCGATCGACGTGATTTTTCAAGATTAAGAGCTGATTAGTTTTTGGAGTTGATCGATAGAGCTGTTTAAAAGTTATTCCAAATAAACCGCGTTTAAAAAAATTTGTTTTCTGAGTTTTTTTTTAGATTTCTCAAAATCTACCGGTCTGAATCGGTCCAAATTGTATTCAAAATCTAAGTTTGGCCAAGCCCTTTCGAATGGCGCCAATCACAATGAAGTCGGTCAAACCGTTCAAAAGTTAAAAGCGGTTACACACACACACACACACACACACACACACGCGCGCGCGCGCGCTGCATACAGACATAGTGACAACATCGCGGGAATAGTCAGAGAAGCTTCCTAGGACCTCAAAACATCGAGAACTGATGAATACTCGATTTTTGCAAAACGAGGTAAAATCATTAACTTCCCGATTTTTGAAAATCTTCGATTTTCTTCGCCGGAAGTTCAAAATAGAAAGTATTAAATCATGCACACTAAGTACATTAATTTTTTTTTTATTTTTACGTTTTCCACAAAAAAATTAATTTTTTTTTTTTTTCAATCTAAAATGTATAAGTAATTGGTTTTTTTTTAATTTCATAATTAAAAAAAAAGATACATGTTATATTTATACTGACACTTTACAATGAACCTATTTTTTGCAGGATTTCTTTATTTTTTGTAATATTAGCAACATATCGGGTAAAAGACCCCATTAGTGGCGGGGACTCCATTACTGATACTTTCTTTGATTTTGGTACTTAATCAATTAATGAAATCATTAATTTCAATAATGAATATATAATATTTCTAATCTTTAAGACCTTTAAATCAAAATAGTACATTAAGATACGAGTTGCTTAAATGAGCGATTATGACACGCCGTGAATGATCGCTCATTTAAGCCACGAGTATTTTACACTATTTTGTAGCACCAGTGTCCTAAATTCGTCTTCAGTTTTATTCAAATTTAAATATAAAAATTAATTAAGGAAAATTTTTTTATTACAAATGCGGCGGTATATGTGGGCTCAAAATTGGGGGGTTGGGGGGCGGAGCCCCCCCAGTTCCAAAAAACAAATAAAAAGTTAAAAAAAAGAAACAAATATATATCAAATAATAAATCCAAAGTGATTAGTATGAATTAACAAAAAATAAATTCACACATTGAAACAATCAATATATAAAATTAAATAACATTAAATTTAGCTGTCACTTTATAATTTTTTAATTTTTTTTAACAAACAAATTTATTCCAAAAAATTATTCATAAAAAATTGCATTAAAGCTATATTCTTCCCTTTTTTTTTTTATCTCGTCAGGAACAAAATCATTATAATCATCGTCTAAATCATTATCACTGTCCATATTTATTACGGAGTAAGATTTTTGTTAAATTAAATAACGTTCAGAAAATATTTCACACCAGAATAATGTTTACGACTGAGCGAAATCGTTAATAAAAAACATTTAAGAATCATTAATTGAGGTTTTAGCATACTTCAGATTGAATAATAACCGACAAAAAGATATAATTTTAATTATTTATTATTTTCTATTTTTTCGGGGCTTTGAATGTTTTTAAATATATTTTTTTATTTTTTTTTGCTGTGAAAGTCAAATTTTTAGAGCAGAAATCTATGGATTGATCGTAAATATGAGCCCGTAGCCTAAAAAATTCCTCTCTACTCGTTTCATAATTGTTTATTTAAGTCAACAGTTGAGCGAGTCCTAAATACGAATTTAGGACACGCAGTGCTATAAAAATTTTTAATTTTTATTCCAAGTAGAACATTTTTTTATTGAAAAAAAAAAAGTGCCACTAATAAGGGTTAAAGATGCCACTAATAGGGTTTTTTATCTTATACAAATTCAAATCCCACAAAAAAACAGTTCCACTGTAAACCGCCGCGCCAAGTACTCGTTCAACTATTGTTACAAACTATAATAATTCGAATTTTACAAAAAAACTATTAAATCGAAAAAAGAACCAAGTAAAAAAAATTTCTTAAATTAAAAAAATGCCAAAGACAGTGAATATTAAGGAAAAAAATTTCATCTACTTGATGTGCATCATTCGAATACTTTAATTATCCACAGTTTTTTAAATTGATACTAGTAGTGTGAATTACAACCCAAGCGTCACATGAAAAACTGTTGACTTTTTGGTAAATTTTATTTAACAAGAAGTCAAAAATTAATAATCGTCAACTTAAATTCAACAGTATATTACCAAAAAAATTTTTGTGCCACTTGGAAATGCACACCAAGTTTATAATAAGCAAAATATTACAATTTTAAATCAAATTACGCGCGTGACTTGCTGACGTGACATCTACAATGGAGAGAATTTATCGTCGAATTGGTGCGCTTGAAGTGTTTTCGGGCTTAAAGACTCCGAGCTGGAAACTATTCGGCTTTTATTTATTTACATACGATATTATATTTACATATCGATGAATATACATTGGTGTATTTATATATTAACAAATATTTTCTAAAATTCCACATAAATATTTAATAATCTATGTAAGTAAACCAAAATTTAATTAATTTTTTTTTTTTTTAATATAAATATTTTTTTCGATTTTATATCTAAACATTTATAGGTTATAAAAATTCAAACTATAAGAATATTTTTTAGTAAATAGAATTATTTAAAAAAATTTATGAAATTGACTACATTTTTTTGTTTTCAGAGTTGATTAAAAATAAACAAAAATGGATTTTCAAAATCGTCCTGGAGGGAAAACAGGAGGTGGAGGAGTTGCCTCCTGGTCAGAGAGTAATCGTGATCGTCGAGAACGTCTCCGGCAATTGGCGTTAGAAACAATCGACCTTAATAAAGATCCATATTTTATGAAAAATCACTTGGGATCATACGAGTGTAAATTGTGTTTGACACTACACAACAATGAAGGCAGTTATTTAGCACATACTCAAGGTAAAAAGCATCAAGCCAATTTAGCTCGGCGTGCTGCTAAAGAAGCCAAAGAAGCCCCCCAAACATTGGCTCCAGAAAAACCCCGCGTTGAGCCGAAAAAATTCGTCAAGATTGGACGACCCGGTTATCGTGTGACGAAACAACGGGATCCAGAAACCGGACAACAAAGCTTACTGTTTCAGGTTGACTATCCCGAAGTCGCGGATAATGTTATTCCTCGGCATCGATTCATGTCAGCTTATGAGCAACGAGTTGAACCACCAGATCGTAAATGGCAGTATTTGTTATTCGCAGCAGAACCTTACGAAACTGTGGCTTTTAAAGTGCCAAGTAGAGAAGTTGAAAAGGCTGAAGGTAAATTTTGGACACATTGGAACAAGGACACTAAGCAATTTTTCTTGCAATTTGCATTTAAAAATGAAAAACCGGCCGTCGGAAAAATTCCACCTCCTCCGGTGCCTTTAATTCGACCAGGACTTGGACAACCGATGATGCCCGTTCCACCGCCTCCCAGGCCGCCTATTTTCAATCCAGTACCTCCACCACCAGCTACGATGCTTGGTGGCGTACAAATTCCACCACCGCCTCCGCATCTTGGATAAATTTTATTTTACTGGCTACTGTTATATTAAACACAAGTAATTTTTAAGTCATGATAATGGAAAATAAAATTGAAATCAGTATAGTACGAGATTTTTTAAAGAGAAACCAAATTTTTTAAAAATATTATTTCAATCACCGAATTATAATAATAAAAATTTTTTATATTTCAGGTTAATGAACATATTGATAATTACTGAATAAAAAACATTGAAATAGGGTAAAAGACCCAGTTATTGACACTGGCCTAATTGTTTGACACTTGCAATTTTATTCTAATTAAAAAAATTAAATTTTCTCAAAGAACCAATTATCTTACAATTTATAGTTGAAAAATTATATTTATTAATGTATTAGAGTTGATTTGTTTTTTTTTTTAATTAAAATAAAATTGCAAGTGTCAATAACTGGGTCTTTTACCTTATTAAAAAATAAATTAATAACGTTAATTGATCCAATACAGAATAAGGTAAAAGACCCAGTTATTGATACTGGCCTAGTTGTTCGACACTTGCAATTTTATTTTAATTAAAAAAAAACAAATTAACTCTAATAAATCTAATTTTATAATTATAAATTTTGAGAAAATTTGTTTTTCGAGAACATTTAATTTTTTTAATTAGAATAAATTTGCAAGTGTCGAACAACTAGGCCAGTGACAACAACTGGGTCTTTTACCTTACTGTACACTGAGGGAAAAAATTTTTTTTGAAAAATTGAGCAATTATGTAATAAGAAATTAATTTGTTGAAAATTTTTGACAATTTTATTTTTCAGCTGAAGAAATTAAAATTTTTCTCACAGCAACTATCTCGTTAAAAAAAAGTATAATTAATTTGGCAGGAAATAATTTTAGACAACTTGCGAATTTTCATTCAAATTAATTTTTTCCAAATCTAGAAACCTATTTTTAACACGAAAATTACTGCGAGAAAAATTTTGATTTCTTTAGCTAAAAAATAAAATTGTTTAAAATTTTCATCAAAAGTTATTTCTTATTACAACATTGCTTTTTTTTCAAATGAAATTTTTTCTCTCAGTGTATATAGTTGACAATAATATCTAAGTACGCATACAATTTTTATTAATGATTTTTTTTTTAAGTTATATTGAGTTTTTGTTTTTCAATATATATTTCTTGAAGTCATTTCATGTTTGTCTGCATAGAAGTATAAAAAAATATTCTTTATCTAATGATATTTTTAAAAAAAATTTTTTCATTTTTTTTGATTCTTAATTAAACCCACGGACACTTACAATTAATAATTTATGTTATTGCGGTAATTATATTATGATGATTAAAAAAATCATTTTGCTTCATTTTTTATCACCGAATTCATAATTTAGGAATTTATTGAAATGTGTTTGAATAAAACTAAAATAGATTCCAAATAAAAAATTAAATTCTATCGAATTGGTTTGTAAAATATAAAAAAATTATTTTAGCTAATTAATATATTTATATTTATGAGTATGAAAGTTACTTAAAAATTTTCAAAAATTAGTTGTGTGCTAACTTTCCACTCGAGTAATTTTTTTAGTAAAATTAATTCTTATTTATATTTTAGTATTATAATATATATTTAAAAATCATTGATTAAAATTATTGATTATTTTTTGACAATTGTGAATTAATTAAATTTAAATAATCACTAACTTTTCTAAACATTAAAAAATTTCTATACCTCGCAATTGTGGTCATCAACTACAGTAGTTTGTTAAACAATCGCTAGACGGTGTAAAACTGCATCTTGGTTAATTACTCAAAAAAATCCGCAAGTTGGTAAAACACGAATACATTTTACTGGTAAATTTTCATCAGAGAGCAGCGCTACAGTATTTTTCACCACGCATGCGCCGGACTCATACTCTGTCACCTGCACGCTGCGTTACCAGTATCCTTTTCACGTTTTGGTTCGACAAAGATGGTGCGTTTCTTAATTTTCCTCCTTATTTATCCGAAAATATTCATTAAATCCGTACAAAATAAATAAAAATTGATAATTATTCTCAAAACTTGATTATTTTTCTATTGTTAAATTTCAATAGTTGTTCAAATTTTATATTAAAACTTTATTATTTCAATTTCAATGTGAATTAACATTTGCTCCGCGTGTATACGTGTAAACATCTTAACATGAATTACTCCAAATTAATAATATAATAAATTTTTTTAGGCCACACACAAGAAAAAGACTAGGAAGCTTCGTGGTCATGTCAGCCACGGTCATGGACGTATTGGTAAGAATTATTAAATTATTTAAAATAAATAACCGGATCATACTTAACTCTAACCTCACTTACAAAAACTTGTCTCTTTTATCATCATGATTATTTTAACCTTCCCCTAAACAGAATAATTTTGTCCTATTATTGTTTATTGAATAACTTGAATGTAATCATTTCTTATTATTTAAGGTAAACACAGAAAGCATCCCGGAGGTCGTGGTAACGCTGGTGGTCTCCATCACCACCGAATCAACTTCGACAAATACCATCCCGGGTACTTCGGAAAGGTATTTTTTTTATTAATCTTGTAAATTAAAAAATTCATTATAAATTTTATTTTAATTTCCAGCTCGGTATGAGAAATTACCACGTTCGTAAAAACTCGACATGGTGTCCAACTCTTAATCTGGACAAATTGTGGACGCTAGTCTCTGAACAAACCAGATTGAGATACAAAGACAACACGAACGGAAAAGTTCCAGTTATTGATCTTTCCAAAGCTGTAAGCATCAAAATTTTTAATAAGTTCATCGTTATTTTGTGAATGTATTAAGTGAATAGTTCATTTTATAATTCATTTTTTGCAGGGTTACTACAAACTTTTAGGCAAAGGCCGTTTACCTGACCAACCCGTTATTGTTAAGGCCAAATTCTTCAGTAAAAAAGCAGAAGACAAAATCAAGGCTATTGGTGGTGCTTGTGTCCTCAGCGCTTAATCACTGGTAAATATCTAGTTATTATAAAATTTTATTGAATACTTATATGTTTAATTATGAAGAGCTTACATGTTTTATAAAAATTTATTTAAATACTTAAGTAGCTATATTTTAATAGATTAATGCAAAATTTGTGATAAATGATCTATTAGCTTATTTTTCTATAATATTCAACCAAATGTTGACTTAATTTAAATAGCAATTAGATTTTTAAAATGCATTGATTCATTTTGCCATTTGGCCTGCGCCTTGGCATATATTACTAATAAATAAATATAAATGGTTCAAAAATTAAATTATTTTGAATCATTTAAACATTTTTTGACTCTAAGGAAGAGTACGAGCACCAAGGCAACCTTTGATAAAAGGCTTGATTTTTTTTAATATGAAGTTTAAATATGTCTAAACAAATTCCAAAAATTTGAAGAAAATTGCCCGATTATTTAAATAAATAATTAACTTTGAAGTTGAGCAATTTAACATAGGTCTTATAGGGTAATCTCTAAACATTGATACATTTCTGTATTTTTCTCGTAAAACTGTCGGTGAATATTTTTAAAAAATTTATGGATGAAAGTAAATATATTAGTGATAAATTTAATTCAAAAAAATTTACACTTGCCCAACTAATTAAAGTGGATTAATTAAAAGAAACATAAATGCTGCAATTAGCCAATGTTAAATGTATATCTATATATTGAGAAAAATCATATGGTTACTGCTCTCCCCTTACCGTACTAGAATCGATACCTATCCCCACCCCGCTTAACGCTTGTATACTTCCATCATTTAGGAATTTTGTGACACTAAATTTTGTAGTGAATCAAATTATGTCGAGTTATTTTTTATTTTGCATTTTAACAAATTATAATTATTCAATCATTCAAAACTTTTTATATAACGACATTAGCTTATACTTCTGTATTTGTATTGTCATATTCTATATTAATTTTTATTTGTTTGTAAATGTTTTCTAATTCAGTAAATTATTGACTTTGGTTAAATATTTAACAGATATTCTTCTTATTTCTCTTAGTTGAAAAATTTGTTTATTTGATAGATCATAGATCATTATAATTTGAACTATCTTGCTCTTAATTTAATTATAAAGTAAATAGAAAAATTATTTAAAATATACATGATCGATATCGAACGGGCGGTCAGAATAGTGCGTACAAACACTATTTATAACTGTTGAATATGTTCAGAAACTGATTTCACTTAATTCTATATTTAATTCTCTCATTATTGAATATAAAGCATTAATTATTGGTTTTGTTTTTTGTTACAGCTATCGAGACTTGAAGTGGTATGTTCATCTTCCATCAACTTTTCGCTTCTATTTTGTAAAAAATTATTTATTTCTTAAATAAAAATAAAATGCGAATGATGATAATGTGAACGGGCGGTCTTAAAGTGCGTACAACACTTTTAACCATGTAGATTCGTTCATTATCTGAATATTTTTAAGAATAATAATAATTATTTTTTTTTTCTAATTAGACTGAAAAGTGTATTAAAAATTTTATTTTATTTTCTTTTTTCAGATTTGAAGAACTTGATTGAGACAAAGCTTGTCATCTTAAATAAAACCTGTTTTTTTCAATAACTAAATCTTTTGTACTTATTTCAATCTAATTTTACGATCACTAATTTTTATTTTATTTTTTTATAATAAGCTAAATTTAAATGAAAAAACAAAGTGAAATTTTTATATTGTAATTTAAGATTTGGAATGAAGAATTATTATTTCTTTTTACGTTTTCACAAAAAATTTTTTAGCAATCCTTACTTTTTCTAAATGACTCGAATATTAGTAATAATAGGTGATCTCTATCGCTAATAATCTATTTGATTTTCCAAGTCTGCGTTTCACGAATTTTTTTACTAGAACAAATAGATTCATCAATAATTCTATAAATTAGTTTTGGCAATAAAAATAATTACTGAAATTAAATATCTGATAATCTTAGGAATTTCTACGAACCATATAAATTTTTTATTGAGAAAATTAAAAAAAAAACCTTACGTGAAGAAATTTTTATAAACTAATTTTTTTTTTTTTTTTTTCAGTTTTTATAGACTTAAAAAATTAACAAAAAAATTTTTTTCTTTCAAAAATAATTTTATTTTTGATGTAAAAAGAATAAATAGGTAAGTGTATGTTGAGGAAAATTTGATCATAATTTTATGAGCAGCAAGAAGATAGCTTCTTTTTACAAACAGTCTTACAAAATTTTCTCTAACAGTAATGTTAAAATGAAAATGATACTAAAATTGATATACATCTGTTAATTTTTGAGATATTCAAAAATAATTTTTTATGAAATAAAAAAATTCTACATTTAGAAATTAAAAAGAATTACAAGTGCAAATTTTATAATAGTATTTTTTTTTTTAATCGAGTTGTAATAAAACAAAAAAAATTAATTACATTTAATAATTTTTTTTAATTTAACAAATAAATTATGACAAAAAAAAATGAGAAAACAAAATTGACATGTAGAAATTTTAAATAATTATAATTACAATTTTCCAAAAATATTTTCCTAGCACCAATTTAATTAAAATCAAAAAATGATCAAGAGTGCTGAATTCAGTATTATTGCTATTATTGTTTTTCTTATGATTATTTAAATTATTTATAACATATTGAATGTCTCGAAATCGATCATTTGAAAGTCGATTGATCGAATGAAAACGGTATGCAACAATCGATAACTAAGTTCTGTCTTGTCTGTCCCCAGTTTCAATAGCCAACTTCACTTCCCAAAATTGTTGTAAGTGACAAACCGGTGTGTAATTTCTAATTGTACCATATTTTTCCTGACGTATGTTACAAAATATCAATTTTATAAATTCATTTACAATAACGAATTACCGTAAAAAAATTAAAATTCGAAAGAGAAAAAAATTATCTCTATAAATATAATAATTATTTCGCTAATTTAATAATTTTGTACAAAAATCTAAATACACGCCATACGCTTATGTTATATATAAAATACATGAATTTAATATTTTTTTCTGCTATAAATTTACCAAAATTTATTTATATAATCGAGTAGTTGTCTTGTAAAAATAATTTGTGTTATTTTTAACACGCATGGTTAAATACGTTTATGATTTATTTTTCCGTACTCCAAGTGTCAATATCAGTTAAAACTTAAAGTTTATTTTTTTTAAAATTATTTTTATTTAATTATTAATAATGGGTAAAGCTAAGAAAGGAAAACGTTCTGGTAAAGACAATGATATGTAAGTGTAAATTTATTTATTATATTCTTAAAATTTAACTAGAAAATTTAATAATATTTATAGAAAAATAGCCACATGTTTTCATCAATTAATTCTTTATTTATCTTTAAATATATTAGTTTTTTAGGTAGAAATTTTTGTTACAATTAACTTTATGTAATTAAATGAACGAATAATTTCTAATTGTGATGCAATATAATTGGCAGTAGAATTTATTTATTTAAAAAATAAGAAAAATATGTTATATGATGATGCAATGAATTTCATGATGTGTAGCCAATAAAATTGAGGTTACAAAAAGGCGCTGATGTTGGGTTCAACTTGAACATTAGATTTTACAAATATTTTAATTAAAATTTTTCATATCAATTTTTTCTGCATTATTTACAAATAACTAATTACATAAGATTTTTATTTACTATAGTAGATAAAGTCTTCAAGAAGTTTTTGATGATTTGAGCAGCAGATTTCTGCTGCTGAATGAAAGAAGAAAATATTTTCTCTATTAATTTTTAAAGTCTATGTTTTAAAAAATTAATAGAGCCTCCAAAAATAAGCAATTACAATTCTTATACTTTCAATTTTGTTGTTATAATACATTAGATAAAATTTAGGAATAGAAGTAATTGCTTTGAAGTAGGAATCACACTATTTTTTTCATGAAATCATAATTTTTTTTGTATAGAATGTCAAATTTTCGACAAAAAAAATTTTTGTAAAAGTTCGATAAATTTAAAAATTTTATATATTAAAGATTTTTTTTCCTAATTATTTTTTTTATACATAGAATACAAAAAAAAAAAATAGTAGAAATTGCTACATTTATTAGCATAAATTTCATTAGCTATTTTTTTTTGGGTGAGTATATAATTTTTATCAACATGTTTCAAAACAAATTCAAAAAATTTTCTTTTACTATTTTAATGATTTTAATCCTAATTGTACTTACCGTCAAAATGAATAATTTGTAAAAATCTATTTGTTGAGATGTTATGGCTAAAAAAAGGATTCTATTTTTCCTATTTTCTATTTATATTTCTATTTCTATAATAATAAAAATAATTATTATAAAAAAATAATTCCTATTTTCAAGCAATTATCAAATAATTTTTTTTGCAATTTTTGGTTTAGATCCATTAGTTAAAAAAATATTATAAGTATGAATTTCCTGTTTTTTTATATTTTTCTCAGGACACTGAATAAAATATTTAAACAAACTTGAAAAAATAAATAATTAGTTGGAAACATTGGCTAAAATGTTGTTAATACAATAACTAGAGATGAAAATCTCTTATAATTGATGTTATTTTAATTATTAATGATATATTATTGATTTATAGGGATAGTGATGTTGATATTGACGAGCAGTCAGTAGCAAGTCAAGATTCCAAAACAAAGTCATCAAAATTATCGGTTAAAGACAAAAAGAAAAAAAAAGATGAAATTGATGATCTAGCTGATGATTTAGAAGAGCTAAAAATGGACAAAAGTAAAAATAAAAAAGGTAAAAAAGGCAATCGTAAAGCTTATGAAGATTCTGATGATGAGTCAATTAGTTTATCAAGTAAAAATGTGCAAAAAGGCAAAGATAAAAAGGATAACGAGGATACAGATAGTGATTCTGAGGTTAAAGTTAGTAAAGGAAAGAAAAAAAATCAAATAAAAAAAGGGTTTGCTGCATTAAATTTAGATTCTGATAATGACAATGATGAGAATAATGATAATGATGATGAAGAAAAAGTTACGGCTAAGCCTAAAGGAAAAACAAAGAAAAAGAAAGGAAAGAAGGATAATGATTTCGATGATTTTGATGACGATGAAAATGAGCGTGTTAATATTAAAATAGACGAGGATGACGATGATGATAGCGTAACATCTGCAGCTAAGAATAAAGTTAATAGCAAGAAAAATAAAAAGAAAAAGGATGATGATTTCGATGATGATAACACCAAGGTAAAAGGCAAAACGAAAAAAGAAAAGAAAAAGTCTTTATCTGACGATGAAGATGATATCATTAGTAAATCTTCCAAAAATAAACCAGGTCAGTTGTTTGTTTTAATTTAGCACTCTCAGATGTTTATAATAATGTTGATATTTATCCACAACTCAATAAATTGCACTTAAACTGAATATTTTAATCCAAAATTTTTAAATTCACACTTGAATACATTTTATTATTCCTACGCTCTATATTATATTTATTATTAAATTTTTATTTTATCAGTTACGAGTGTCTTTGCTTTATTGAACGTGGAAGGTGAAGATGATGATGATAATGATGATGATGACGACAATGACGATAACGATAAACGCTCTCAAAGTGAAGATGAAGAAAAAGTTGTAAGTAAAGAGAGGCCTAAAGGTAAACAACAAAACTCGAAAAATCAAAATCAAGAATCTGCGCAAAATAAAAAAGGAAAAAAAGGTATTGTTTTATTTTCTTTTTTTTTTTAAATTGAATTATCAAAGGGGAACACCACTGTGACGGTCGAAAGGTAAGGTGATTTTCGGGAATTTTTTTGATAAGGAAAATAGAGGAATTTGGGAATCGGATTTTTTTTTATTTTATTAAGGGTATGTTAAAGATTATTACCCTAAATTTTTATTAAAAAATATTTAATAATTACAAAGTTATTAACAATCTCGTAGCGCACTGGAAAAAATTTCCCCCTCCATGGTCACATCGATAACTCAAAAACGGATCATCTGAAAATAAAAATCCGAGTTGCTTTTTAATCAGTAAGGATGTAGTTATCGTTGCATGTACGAAATTTTTAAAATTTTAATTTTTAAAAAAATGGCGACTGATAAAAAATTTTCTCATTATTTTTACTGTTTTTTTTTTTTGTTTTAACCCGGCTAAAAAAATCTTTAAAATCAAAATGTTTTAAATTCCGTACGTGCAACGATAACTGGATGATTCTCTATAAGGACGCCTTAAATCTGTACAAAATTGTCCAACCAAATTATTTTCGATTTTATTTGAAAAAAAAATTAACAAGGGCTACAAAACTATCAGCTTAATCATAATAAATAAACAGTCGATTTAATTTTTGCTTTTTCGATATTTGTGTATCTTTTACTATATAACATGACAGGGGACTGTTTTTTTTTATCAAATTAAGAAAAATCAAGCAAACTATTTCAATGCATTCAACTTTTCAAGTTCTCAATGAATGTTTACATTAATTAGAATAATATTAAGACTTATGGATCCAATTTTACAAATAAATTATAAATAAAAATAGTTGCCAGGGGACTGAGTTTTGAAGTGGCCCAGACACATATTTCCAGCACAAACTGTGCTTTGAAACTAAATAAAATGGCGTTGAAGCGCTAACAGCCCTATGGTTATTAACTCAAGACTAGTTAGGTCCTTATAAACCTTACAAAAGGTAAAATAACACGCTGGATTTTTTTTTTTTTGGCTTTGAACTTCTGGCAGGGGACTGTTCTTAAAATGCCTGGGACAAACTTTGCTTTAATGAATTTAATGAAACAAATTAATTTTCGGTACTTTTTATTGAAGAAGATTGTTAGTTAACTAATTAAGTTTGTAAACATTATGGACCAAATTATATATTATGGACGAATAACTTAAAATTTAATCTTAAAGTTTTAATTTTGGGAATGGGACAGCCCAGGGGACTGTTATTTCGGTGGTTTACGAATTTATAGAAAAAAAACCAAAATTTATTTCATTTTAGTTTTCAATGCTCCAAATAGAAATGTTTTTTTTACTTTCGTAATAAATTTTTTTTAGTAACAAAATAACAATTTTTCTAATAAAAAAATGCCTGGGACAGCAAAGAACATCCTTAGAGATAATCACCCAATTGCATCTTTACTGATTAAAAAGCAATTTGTGTCTTTATTTTTAGATCATCCGTTTTTGAGTTATCGATGCGACCATGGAGAGGGAAATTTTTTCTAGTACTCTACGAGATTGTTAATAACTTTGTAATCATTAAATATTATTTGATAAAAATTTAGGGTAATAATCTTTAATGTACCCTTAATAAAATAAAAAAATCCGATCCACAAATTCTTTTATTTTCCCTGTCAAAAAAATTACCGAAAATCACTTTTTTTTCGACCGTCACAGTGGTGTTCCCCCTTAATAAGAACAAAAAAAAATTGATTAATTTTTTTTTTTAATTATCACAGGAAAGAAGAAAAATGACAGTGATGATGAAATTGAAAGAGTTTTAGCAGAGTTAGAAATGGAATACTCAGGTAACAAAAAAGTCGAAGCTAAACCTGTTCAAGATGACACTAAAATTGAAGAAGATAAAGACGGTAAAGATGAAGGGGAAGATAAAGATGATGATAAGAAGAAAAAGAAGAAAAATAAAGCGAAAGGTAAAGATGTTAAAGAAAAAGATCAAGAGATTTCAACAAAAGTTGAAGAATCAAAAGCTGTTGCTGATGATGAAAAGGGTGACGATGAAAGTGGTACAGTAAAAACAGCTGCACAAAAGAAAAAAGAAAAAAAAGAACGTGAAAAAGCAAAAAAATTAGCATTGAAAAAAGGAGTAAGGATTAAATTATTTTAATCACGATTTTTTTTTTTAAATTTCGATATATTTGACTCAATGTAAATTTTATATTTCAGGAACAGCCCAAAAAGCCACAAACAGAATCTGAGCAACCCGATGCTGAATCATCTCAACCTGTCGAAGCTGATGAAGAGCTTGACGATGATTCAAAGAAGAAGAAGAAATCAAAGGAAGATTCTAAAGACAAAGGTAAAGGGCTTTCTAAAAAAACGCTGGCTCAAATGCAGGCTGCTCTGAAACAGTTAAAAGAGGATGAAGAGCGTGCTAAGCGAGACGAAGAAGAACGAATTCGCCAGGAAGAAATACGTGAGCAACTTCGTCTCAAGCAGCTTCAAGAGGAACAGGAACGTAAAGAAAAGAAAAAGTTGAAAGAAAAACAACGAAAAGAGCGTTTGAAAGCTGAGGGTAAATTATTAACACCTAAACAGAAACAAGAACGTGCTCGTGCACAGGCTATGCTTGACGCTCTTAAAGCTCAAGGTCATGAAGTTCCTGATAAAGGAGAAAAAAAAACCCGTACTCGTCTTCCACTCGGTTCACGTCCGCGGCTTAATAAATTGAATAAACAGTCTAGTCAGGATAATAAAACTGATAATGATAAACAACAAGAAGATAACAATAAAATCCAACAGGTTAAAGATGACGACAAAGAATCATCTAAGAATTCAAATGAACAGGTTCAGCTCGAGATTGTCGATTTACCTGCTAAAGTAAGTGAAGATGTTGGAGAGATTAAAGACTCATGGGATGTTGATTCGAGTGAAAATGATGAAGATGATAAATCTGAGGAAACAAAAAAACAAAAATCTGCTAAAGTTGATAATAAATCTACTAAAACAGTGTCCACTAAAAAAGCGGATAGTGAGGAGAGTGAAGAGAGTAGTGAAAGTGGTGATGAATCTGATGATGACAATGATAGTGATGATAGTAGTGATAGTAGTGATGATAACGAAGATAGCATTGATGATAAAATGACAGATGCCGAAAAGAAAAGGGAAAGAGTGAAAATGAGAATCGCTAATAGGCGTATTGAAGCCGAAAAGAAAAAGACAATAGATAATTTACGTGCTGCAGTTGTTTGTGTACTTGGTCATGTCGATACTGGTAAAACTAAAATTTTAGATAAATTAAGAAGGACTAATGTTCAGGATGGTGAAGCTGGTGGTATTACACAACAAATCGGAGCTACTAATGTGCCTATTGACGCTATCATTGATAGTACCAAGCATGTTAAAGGGGTAAGACTTTTTCATCAATACTTTTTTTTGTTAAAGTTGGGAATTTTTTTTTCATTTTAAAAAACTATTGTTTGAAAAAATTCACCCAAACTTGACTTGGCAAATACCGTTGAAAAGTTGATAACAACTTTGGAATGGAAGACAATCTCTAGGTCCTACCAAAATTGCAACTGCGTTATTTTTAAACTGGTGTTTTTTAATTTATTGATAAATTTTATACTAATTCTGTTTTAATTTATTAATTTACAGATTGCTGATAAAAAATTCAAACTACCAGGGTTATTAATTATCGACACACCTGGGCACGAGTCATTTAGTAATTTACGTAACCGTGGATCATCTCTCTGTGATATTGCAATATTAGTTGTTGATATTATGCATGGATTAGAGCCACAAACAATCGAAAGTATTGGTCTTTTAAAAGAAAAAAAGTGTCCATTTGTTGTTGCCTTAAATAAAATAGATAGGTAATTATCCATTATTTTATTATCATCCAATAATTTTCATTTAAGGGGTTACCTCCATGGGTTTCCACCGGGAAAAAATGGCCTTTCAACAATTTTTTTTAATAGAAAAAATTAAATATTTTATTCAAACTTTTTACTGTCTTAAAGATACACAGAAAAAAGTAAACTAATAAATAACAGTCGATTTATAATAAGTAATGATCGACTGCTAAAAATTACCATTTCAAACAGTAAAATCGTGATTTTATTATTCACTTTATAATATTTACCATTTAAACGTTACAATTTACTCTTTACATGGAAGAAAATACTATTTCAAACAGTAATATTCGCTATGCAAATGTCTAAAATGTTAAAGTATAATAATTAAGAATTCAGACTTTGATATTTATTATTTCGTATTTAAAAAATGGTCTTATGACATGTAAAAAGTATAAAATAAAGTTATTAAATTTCTAATACAAGCAACGTCAATATTTACAAAGTAAAATGGTAAATCTTAAACGCAACGCTAAAAATCAAACTGTAGTTATTGACTTGCTTAGACTGGTAAAATTTATATTTCAAAAGTATAATTTTTACTATTTCAAATGTTAAATTCTCCCTAAGAGTGAGATCCCCTTCTCTTTCATCTAAGTTCCTCTTCTCCTCATAATATGGACTATATATTGAAATGGCAATTTTTACTGTTTGAAACTGTAATTTTTTAAGATGTAAGAGTCGTTATTTATTATAGTGACAGCTACTAATCACTTATTTTGGATATTAAATTATAAATTGTAGCTTTTATACTTTCTACATTAAGTTCTGTAATATTTATATTTTTGCCACCCCGATGTCCGCTTTACTGTTTGAAACTATAAAAATTAACCGGAATCCGAGTGAATATTACAGTTTACTCTTTTCCGTGTACATGCTTAATAAGGGATTACTGGAATTAAATAAAAAAAATATTAAAAACTCTGATAATGTGACGTCATTTCTGATGAGCCCTCGGAAAAAAGATGCGTCCGCGTGGACAGTAGAACTAGTAGGATCATTTGGAGTAAAAAAAAAAAATATGTGCTTTAGTTAAGACTCCAAACTAGGTCTTGAACGAAGTAAAAAAAATGAAAGTTGGATTTTTGGCAGAAGTTTTTACAAAAAAATTAAAAATTTGGCTAAAATTTTGCGGCATTTTTTTAAAAATTAAGTAGTTGTAATTAAAAAAAAAATCCTTCGTTCCAGACCTTGTAAATTATACATCGAAGATGTCTAAAATTTCATCAAGATCAGTTGAGTAGTTCTCGAGAAATCTTGGCCACCGTCTTTGAAAACATAGTTTTCAGAAAAACGTGTTTAAAGTTTCGAGTGACAATGAAATAGCGCCTTAAGGGCGCAACTTTTTAAAACTGTATCTCCGAAACTATTATTCGGATCGATTTGAAACTTTAGGACAATATTCTAGAAATGTTGTAGAATTTAATAAGACAAAAAAAATCAATTTTTTGAAACCGTGAAACCCATGTAACCCCTTAATTCCATTTAAATAATTTTATTATTTGAATTGTTAATTCCAGGTTATACGATTGGCAAACAATGAATCGTAAAGATATACAAGATATAATAAAATCTCAATCACAAAATACACAGCTTGAATTTGAAAGACGAACAAACGAAGTTATAGGACAATTCGCTGAAAAGGGATTGAACGCTGCGTTGTTTTACAAAAATCCTGATCCACGTAATTATGTGTCTCTTATACCAACGAGTGCTATAACTGGTAATATACTTTTATTAATATTTTTATGATAACATATTCCAATAATTTATAATTTTTTTTTTTTTAAGGTGAGGGTATGGGTAATTTGTTATCACTGATCGTCGAATTTAGCCAAGGTCCATTAGCTAAACGTTTAATGTACAGCGAAGAATTACAAGCAACTGTTTTAGAAGTTAAAGTATTGCCTGGACTTGGTACAACAATTGATTGTATTCTAGTCAACGGATCACTGAGAGAAGGTGATACGATGATTGTCGCTGGTACTGATGGCCCTATCGTTACTCAAATCCGTTCATTACTTATGCCGCAACCACTTAAAGAATTACGAGTTAAGGTAAAGTATTTTGATTTTATTTTATAATCTACAGGACAAAATCATTTCGATTTTTATCTATTTTTTTTTATTTCAAATAGAATGCCTACATCGAGTATAGAGAAATAAAAGCAGCTCAAGGTGTTAAAATAGCAGCGAAAGATTTAGAAAAAGCTATTGCTGGTAAGCTTATAATGTGTAAAGTCATTGTAGTTATTAATATTTTTTTTTTTTTTTTAGATAATCATGTATTAATACTTGATTTTATTTTGTTTTGCAGGATTAAATTTATTAGTCGCTCAAAAACCCGATGAAGTAGATTTATTGAAAGAAGAAATAGCTAGAGAATTATCCAAAGCATTAGGTAACATAAAATTAGCTGAACGTGGTGTATTTGTTCAAGCTTCAACTTTAGGAGCTCTGGAAGCATTGCTAGACTTTTTAAAAACCAGTAAAATACCGGTGAGTTTAAAAATTATTGTATTTTTTTATTTCTTTTTCATAAAAAATATACAAAACTCTTACACTAAATATATTTATTCTATCGAGATAAAAAAATTCATCCGTAGAAAAGTGCACATACTTCATTGTTTATTATACATTGAGAGAAAAAATTTCTTTTGAAGAAAATGAAAAATGTTGTAATAAGAAATTAATTTGTTAAAAATTCTAAACAATTTTATTTCTTAGCTGAAGAATTCAAAATTTTCTCACCATAACTTTAATCTTGGAAAAAAAGTTTTCTACATTTGGGAAAAAATAATTTTGAATAAAAATTATCGCTAGTTGTCTATTTAAATTTTTTTTTTCAAATCACAAAAATTTCTTTTCAACCAGAAAGTTACTGTAAGAAAAATTTAGATTCCTTCAGTTAAAAAATAAAATTGAAAATTTCCAACAAATTTATTTCTTCTCATAAGAATGCTCATATTTTTCGAAAGAAATTTTTTCTCTCAATGCAGAACTAAAATTTTTATTTATACTTTTAATGACTTTACTCAAACACTACCAATTTTTAGGTAGATTTCATAGAAATCAATCTATTGCATTGGTCCTCATGTCGGAATTCACTCGGAATTTTGTCGTAATATCACTTAACTAGTCGAGTGAAGCTCAAAAATAACGTTAGTTAAAAAATTTATATATGTATGTATATATAATATCCACAGATTCGGTAGAATCTGGCGCCAAGTTCCGTTCAAATCCGTTGTCAACGGAGCGCCAGACTACCGACTGTGTTTACTGTAAGCAGAACGGTATTTTGAGGTTGCAAAATTTTATTTAATTCTACGGTACTTTTTTTTCCTAAATTGTATATTATAACAGTAATTCATACTTTATTTTACTGTTATTAATTAATTATATTCACTTATAACAATTAATCTACTTGAAATTAATAAATTTAATCAGCACAAACTATAGCAACGCAAAAATTTCGATCCTGACTTTTTGTCGATGGGCAAAGTGATCTGCCACAGACTAAAATATTCGAGAATGCATAGTAATCCTTCATAAGATGGGACACTACAGTTAAAAAAAGATATTTCACAACTTGCATCTACACCCGCCAGGGTGCGCTAGAATTATTTTTACATAAACTGTAGCCTCAAGGGAATAGTTTGCTATAAAAAAATGCAGCCAACACGAGATTTAAGTTGGTACCAACTGTAAATTTTTATTATAATTACAAAAAATACTAAAATCCGAACAAAAAAAGTTTCACTGTAAAAAAATCGCGCCAAGTCCACATTCATAAGACTATTAAGAAAAAAAAAATTAGTTTTTTCTTTACAAAAAGATAAAAAATAAAAAAATTGAAAAATCCAAGTAACCGATATGATTGTATATGATTTTCCGAAATTACAAAAAATTTTGTTGTAAATTTAAAAATAAAAAAAAAATTTTGGAACGTACTTGGTGTGCGTCATATTGTGCATTTCAATTTTTTTAAAGTCCTAGTAAATAGATTTTACGAATTTAATCAAAAGTAAAATATTTCGCAACAACGCACACTAAATACGTTCAAAAATTGTTTTTTTAATTTTTAAATTTACAAAAAAATTTTTTTTAATTTCCGAAAATCATAAACAATCATATCGGTTACACGGAAAGAGCAAGATGACACTGGATACCATCTCAGATTATACTCAGTGACATCTGAGGTAAAAAAATTTCAGATGTTAGCTAGTATAATCCAGATTATACTGAATAATATCTGGATTATACTCATTGTAATCTGGATCATACTCATTGTTATCTGGATTATACTAG